TTTGGGAGGCCAAGGCGGCTGGATCACTTGAGGTCAGGAGTTTGAGACGAGCTTGGCCAACATGGTGAAACCCTGTCTCTACTAAAAATACAAAACTTAGCCGAGCGTGGTGGCAGGCACCTGTAATCCCAGCTACTTGGTAGGCTGATGCAGGGGAATCGCTTGAACCTCAGAGGCAGTGAGCCAAGATGGCGCCTCTGCCCTCCAGCCCGAGCAACAGAAAACACACACGCACACAGAACTGGGCCTGGCGCAGTGACTCACACCTATAATCCCAGCACTCTGGGAGGCTGAGGCAGGAAGCTTCATTGAGACCAGGAGTTTGAGACCATCCTGGGCAACATAAGGAGACCATCTCTAAAAACAAAAACAAAAAACAAAAAACACGGCACTGGGCAAGCCACTGAAACTCCTGGAGCCTCAGTTTCCTGGTGAGTTAAATGGAGTTGATAAGACTTTCTCATCAGGTTGCCATGAGGATGAAATGGCAAAAATGTTCGGCCCAGCGTATGGAATGCAGCACATGCTTAACACATGGCAGCTGTGGGATCCGGGGCTCGCACGGGGACATCTCTGGGATGGGGCCACCAGAATCCCATCCCTCCCACACAGGGGACAGCAACCACATGCTCCTGGTGTGGTGCAGCAGACACCAGCCCTCAGTTGAGATACCTGGATCTGGCCATGCTCTTCCTTTCCTAGCTGTGTGACAAGGGGCAAGTCACCTCCTCCCCCAAGCCCTCCATTTCATCATCTATAAAATGAAGGGGCTGTACTTCCTTTTTTGTTAACAGAATCATTTCTTCAAACAAACTCTTATTATATGTCAACATCACTTATAAAACTAATAAAGGTAGCCATTAGCATAATCTTTAAAAGTCTAAAATTTTTAACATTAACTTATAAAGTCAACCAATGGAAACAATAGGTTTACTGCAAAAATTGGGAAAAACAGGATCAGTGCGGAGAGGCGCAGCCATGTAATCAGCTTGGGCATTCGCTGGTTTCTGCGGCGTTTGGTGCACAGTACTGAAAAGGTCCTGGCAGGACGTGTTCTCTTGGAGGGTCTGCACAAAAAAGGGTAAGTGTGGCAGCTGAAGGTATACCCTGAAGGCCTCTGATTAGGGTTAAGCTCTGATTTGTAGTAATTTAAGAGTGTGGGTATTTTTTAATCATTAGTTTCAAATCTACTTTAAAATAAAATGTGAATCAAAAAACCTGTGAGCCACCTCTCCAGAAACCCAGAGCGCCACAGAACAGAATGAAAACTGCCGGGCCCTGACTCCAACCCTGACCGTAATCACTGCCTCGCTAGTCACAGCGTTCCCCCTACCCCTGGCCCCAACCCCTCCTGCCTACACCCCCCGCAGGCTTTATGACATCTTTTCCTGGCTGGGCACACCTGGGTACTGCAGGGGGATGTCAATCTTGGGCCCGATGACATAGTGGCCCTCCTCCAGGGTATGAGCTGTCACCGTTGTCCACTGGCGGCAGGAGTGGATGAGCAGGATGTCTCGCTCACTGACGCCCTCAGCGTACTCCCCTGGGAGGGGAGAGGAGGACAGAGGAGGAGGGGAAGGAAGACAGGACATTAGGAGGGGCAGAAAGAACAGACAGGGTGACCTCCTCACCAAGACCACCCCCCTGAGGGACAGCTCCCCACAATCCCTGCCCAGGTCAGCAAAGCTCAAGGGACAGGCAGGCTGCCAGCTGGGGCCTGGGGCTGTGGGGCTGGCTGTGAGCCTCTCAGGGCTGTGACTCCTGACAGGGCCCCTCGTTCATCAGTGGCTGGAATGCCTGCTGCCTCTAGCTCTGAGCTGGGGCTGGGAGTTCCCCATGGATAAGCCCAGACAGCCCCTGCCCTCCAGGAGCCCTTAGGCCCCTGGGGAGGTGGGCAGAGATGTACCAAAGACTAGGCAAGTTTGAGGCACTGACTGGAGCATGTCTGGGGAGCAGCAGGTTCCAGCTGGGGGTGGAGTGGCGAAGGGAGACTTTATTGAGCAGGAGATGCTGGAGCTGGGCCTCAGCCTTCCAGTCAGGGCCTAGGCCCTGCAAGAAGGGCCCTGTTGGGGCAGTGGAGAGGGCCCAGATGGGACTGTCCCTTATAAGGTCCCAGCTATGAGAGCTCCCCCAGAGCCACGGGTTGCTCAGGTCAAGAGAGTGACAGGGCTTAGAGCAGCTGATTACTGCCTCTCCCAAGGGCAGCCCTTCCTTTCCACCCACTGCCTTGTTCAGGGGACCTCAAAGGAGAGTGGGGAAGTCCCCAGAAACCGCCAACCCCATCTCAGAGAAGCAGCTCCTTGACACCCCCTCCCCATGCCCCTCATCCTCCCAATTACAGGGGTGATGGCTGAGGGTTGGAGGGGTTGAGAGAGCAGGTTTAGAAGGCAGGAGTGGGAGGCCCAGCCCTGGGGCCTGGGGAAAGCTGCTCTGGGGCAGAGGTGTTGGGAGTTGGGAGGGGTCTGGGCCTGGAGGCTCCAACCCCAGCAACAGTTTCCAGGGGAGCAGGAGGGGCGGCCCAGCTTCCAGGAGGCAGAAGGGGCCATGTCCTGGCTGCAGCTGGTGGGGAGGGTAGGGGTGGGGAGCAACTCCTTCCTTGCTCCTTCAGGCACAACTTACAAAATTTCTGCGAATCAAATGGGAAATGGTTTACACTGATGGCTGGGGGGTCCATAAAGTGTGTACATGTGGGGTGGGCGGATATGTGTGTGTGTGTGTGTGGCAGGGTGGGGGGCAGTTCAAGATGCTCAGGAAGGGCCTGGCCCCCACTATGTGTGTGTTGGGGGTGTTGTCTGAGCCTTCTTCTGCACCTCCTCACCTCCAGGGGCATAAGAAGCTCTCCTCCAACTCTGATCCCTCCTCTGAGAGCTGTCCCGGGTCTCAGCCCCATCTTCCACAGCCACACGGGCACACACCAGTAACCAGGGCTCATGACCACCAACAGCTGAACCACAATAGCCCACAGTGACAGATGCTTGTCACCCAAACGACACAACTCAGTCTCCGGCCAAGGGGCCCCTCCCAAATGCACAGGTACACAGGGACCTACCCTTCAAGCCATATAATTCTGACCAGACATTCACACCCTGATGGTGACCCAGTCGTAGCCACACACCATCACACGCAACAGACAGCTGGGCCATCACACTAGTTGTTCATTCAATCACCCATTCATTCATTCATTCATTCAATCCATAATCTTTATTGGGCAAGGATGCCGGGTCTCAAGGAGCCCACAGCCAGGTGGAAAGACAATAAACTGGCTGGCCATTATAATGAGGTGCACAGTAGGAGACAAGCCAGGGTTGGCACGAGGTAGCAGGGGAGACCAAAGGAGGCTGTACCCAGACCGAGGAGCTCAGAAAAGCTGCCCAGAAAGGGGAGATGCCAAAAAGGATGTGTGGGAAGTGGCCAAAAGACCCCAAGGCAGCATCCCCCATTCACAGGCAGACACAGTACCACACTCTGACCACTCTGCCCCGTGCCAGAGAAACAGACGCTGGCCTGCCCGACGGCCAGGGCGCCGATGCTCCCCCATGAGCCTGCTCCCGGGACAGCTGACGCCCACTGTGCCCACTCCTGGCCGCCGCGGAGGAGGGGCTGCTGGGCCCCGAGGGGAGGAGAGGAGCCTGCGGCCGCGGGCCCCATTAGCATTCAGGGAAGCGAGTATGCCAACGCGGGCCAAACCCCTATTCTTCTCACACACAAAACCCCCGGCCTGGCTGCCAGCCCCGGCTACCGCCCATCCCCCAACCAAGCAGCACCCCCCTCCCCTGAAACGGTCCCCTCGCTCCACGCAGCCCCCGGGGGTACCCTCTCGGGCCCCCATGAGTGGTTCCATCAGCCGAGCGGCTGGGGGCCCCAGATCCTATTAAGAAGTGGGACAAGATTCGGGGGAGGGCCGGGGGTTTGGGGGTCACACCGGGCGGCAGACCCGGCTCCCGCCGGCCTCTCCCGAAGGTGGCCTGCCCGCCCCAGGACCGAAATTGCTCCTGAGGAATCGAAAGGAGGTGCAAGAAGGGTTCCCAGAGGGGCGGAGCAGGGCTGGGGGTGGCGGTAGGGGGAAGACAGAGTCCGGGTACCAGGGATGAGGGAAGACAGAGGTGAGAGGCCGGGGACAAAGGGACTGAGGGGGCGCGGCCGGGGCGGGGGGCCCAGGGGCAGCGGGGGAAAGGGGGACACCGACGGGGCGGGAGCAGGGGGTCGGCCCCTTTCCGGACTCCAGCTGGGCGGGAAAACTGTCCCGGGCCCTGTCCCCGGTGTCTGTGCCTGTGCTTGTCCCCGGGGCCCAGGAGGCGGACCTGGCGGGTGGGCCCCGCGTCTCCCGGGAGGCGCGCCAGGAAGCGCTCGGGGCCCACACCGGGGAGCCAGGAGCGCGCGGGCGCCGCACCCTCCTCACGATCCCTCTGGCCCCCGCCTGGAGAGCCCACCATTCCCCCGCGGACCCCGGTCCCCATCTCCAGCGACCCCGGTACCTGGCCCAAGGCAGGCGAGCGTGGGCAGGCGGCAGCGGCTGACGATGAGGTCGAGCGGGAAGGCGCCCATGCTCCAGCGCAGGCCGGCCAGCCCGGCCGCAAGCTTCTCCATGGCATGGGCGCCCCGGGGCCGCCGTCCCGGGGCCCCGACGGTCAGTCCCGCGCGGCCCAGGCTCTCGCGCCCGCCGCCACCTCCCGGGGCCGCCGCGGCGCTCGCCGCCTGGCAGCCCCGCCGGGCCGCGGGCGTCACGTGGCTGGCCTCCCCGCGGGGCGCCGACCCCGGCCCCGCCCCCGGCCCCGCCCCCTCCTCCCGGACCCCCGCCCCCTGCTCTGGCCGCCCGGACCCGGACTGGCCGCCGGACCCACCCCCGGACCTCCGCCCCAGCCCTGTCCGCCCGGCCCCGCCCCGGCCCCCTCTCCTCGGAACCCGGTCCCCGCGCCCCCTTCTGGGACCCCGGGTCCCCAGCCCCACGCTCCGTTCGCCCGCCCCCTCCCCCGCTCCCCGGGCCCCCTCCAGCCGCTGCCGCCAAGCCCCGCCTCCCCTCCCGCAAGCTTCCCCGCGCCCAGGTGACCGCGGGTGATGGAGGACCCCAGGGCGGGCGCCCGGAGGGACAACGAAGACCCGAGCGGCATCTGCGGAGTCGGCGCAGGCTCGGCCTCCTCCTCCTGGCTGGGTGTGTCCCGGGCCCGCCGCTCCCCCTGGTGCCGGCCTCCTGGAGGCCGCGCCCACCGCGCCCGGTCCAGCTACGCCGCCCAAAGCTCGAGTTCAGCTTCTCCAGGACCTTCATCACCACCGGCTCCATGGAGCTGGGCGAGGCAGCCTCCTTAACCCCATTTTACTGATGAGCAAACTGAGGCGCAGAAGTCAGGTGGCAGCCAGGACTTCAACCTAGGTTGGACTTCAACCCAGATTTGACTCCAACCCTACTGCCCAATAGCACCCTGCAGTGCCCCAGCATAGAGCACCTTCCACGTTCCCAGCGCCCCCTTAGCCAATGGTTCCGTGTCCCGTGAACCGGCGCTCCAGCGCTTCCGCAGCACGCGCTGTGGACTGCGTCCATTCTGTAGATGAGGAGGCCGAGGTTCGGGGGCGTAACAGGTGCTGCGGTCCCCTCTCGGATCGTTACAAGAACCGTCCCCCTCCCCCCCACCGCCATCCCTTCTCTCTTTTCCTTATCATTTTTTGAGACTAGGTCTCGCTGTGTCGCCCAGCCTGAAGTGCAGTGGCGCGATCTCGGCTCACTGCAACCTCCACCTCCCGGACTCAAGCGATCCTCCCACCTCAGCCTCCGGAGTAGCTGGGATGACAGGCACCCGCCACCACGCCTGGCTAATTTTTTTGTATTTTTAGTAGAGACGGGGCTTCACCACGTTGGCCAGCATGGTCTCGAATCCTTGACCTCAAGCGATCCGCCCGCCTCGGCCTCCCAAAGTGCTAGGATTACAGGCGTGAGCCACCGCGCTCAGCCTTCGTTCCCTTCTTTTAATTTGCGTTTCCTTTTCAGCTGTTCTCACCTCTTCCTTCCAAGCCCTCTGAACTCCACCTCGGCGGGCTCCCTTTGGGACCCCCTTCCCAGAAGCTTAGATGGCCTCGGCGTCGGCCTCTCTGTGTCTGCGGCGCCCTCTGCAGGTAACTGGGGGATGATGTGGGCCTGGCTGACCTCGCGGGGCCAGCGGGCCTTAATCCCTAGGCTGCTCCCTCACGGGAGTGTAGTGGCACGATCTCGGCTCACTGCAACCTCTGACTTCCAGGTCAAGCAATTCTCCCGCCTTAGCTTCCTGAGTAGCTGGGATTACAGATGTAGCTGGGATTACAGACAAGCACCACCATGCCCGGCTAATTTTTTGCCTGGCTAATTTTTGTATTTTTAGTAGAGACAGGGTTTCACAATGTTGGCCAGGCTCCTCTCGAACTCCTGACCTCAAGTGATCCACCTGCCTCGATCCACCAGTCCTCAGCCTCGGTACCCCCGAGAGAACCCCACCAAATACAAACAAAACCCTCTCTTCTGTGGCCGGGCGCGGTGGCTCACGCCTGTAATTCCAGCGCTTAGTAACCTCAGTGAGCCATCTCAGCAGTTCTTACAGGTCTTTGGAGCCTGCTTCCAGTACAGCTCCAGTACAATTATTCCCATGCTGGTCTCCAAGTAAACACTGGGTGGCTGCCAGGAGTCTGGAGGAAGCGCCGCCATAGTGAAGCGGGCAGAATGCTTCTCTAGCAACTGCTACTTCTGGCGGTTAGCTGGGGACCCCCTGCTGCTGCTGCGCACACCTCCAGGAGAATCGCTTGAACCCGGGAAGCAGAGGTTGCAGTGAGCCGAGATCGTGCCACTGCACTCCAGCCTGGGCGACAGAGCGGGACTCTGTCTCGAAAAAAAAAAAAAAAAAAAAAAAAATTATTCAAACTGTTTCCCAGAAGAGAGGTTTTGTGTCAGTGGTCTTTCACACCATTTCAGAACCACACTTGCCTGAATGAACACTTCAGATGGACTTGGTGTCATCTGGGCTTAAGGGACAGCAAATGATGGAGTAAAACTATACAAATAATCCAACGTCTTTTCTGTGAGCCAAGTCAATAATTAGCTGGGGATCCGACAGCTCTGCCTTTGTCACCTGAGACAGATTGTCCAACAATTCCCCTGAAATTCCAATCTGTGCAATAAGACAAATACCTCAATGGAATAGAAGAGAGAGCTGGGAAATAGATCCACACACATACAGTCAACTGATCTCTGACAAAGGAGGAGAGGCAATTCAATGGAAAAAGCACAGTATTTTTCAACAAATTGTACCAGAACGATTGGACATACATATAACAAAAAAACTAATCTAGACACAGATCTTACATCCTTCACAAAAATTATTTCAAAATGGATCATAGACCTAAATGTAAAATGTAAATTAATAGCATTCCTAGAGAATAACACAGGAGAAAATCTAGGCGACCTTGGGAACACCAAAAGCACTCCTCTGCCAATCAGAGCAATAAATAGACCTGGATTATATGCATGGTTCCAAAAGCGTGGTGTAGCTTCCTTGTCCAGATTTAAGACCTGACATCTTGAAGATGGCAGCAAATCCTAGGAGTTGCACACTGGCATTCCATTTGAATCAGAACAGGAAAAGGAGCAAGATCCCCTAGTTTCTGGGGAAACAGAGTTGTTCCCAGCCCAAAACCATAGCATAATTGGTACTGTTTTTTTTTTTTTTTTTTTTTTGACAGGGTCTCACTGGCTTTCTCACCTACGCTGGAGTGCAGTGGCGGGATCTCAGCTCACTGCAGCCTTCGCCTCCCAGGTTCAAGCGATTCTCCTGCCTCAGCCTCTCGAGTGGCTGGGATTACAGTCATGCACCACCACACCTGGCTCACTTTTTTAAAAAATTATTTTTAGTAGAGACGGGGTTTCGCTATGTTGGCCAGGTTGGTGTTGAACTCCTGGCCTCAGGTGATCCACCCACCTCGGCCTTCCAAAGTACTGGGATTATAGTGAGCCTCTGTGCCTGGCTGATTGTTACTTTTATAATAAGACAAGTCTTATGGTAAGACAAATTTACCCTGACCACCTGCTTTGCAGGTGTTTGCACCAGCCTCCCCATCACCAAGCAGCCAATCCTGGCAGCAGGAATGGAAGTCAGCAACTGAGAACCCTGGATTTACAGCTCTAGGCAAACCAAGGAGTTTCCAGAAGTTGTGGGAAAGCTCCCACCCAGTCCCCTATAGAGTGACTGAACAGCTGATGGGAACACCTTCACGGTCAATTCAATTATCTTTCATGTTATGGTCCTGGCCTCACTAGTAAACCCTGTGTAAACTCAAAACTCACTGTGAAATCACTGTTACATGACATGGGAATCTCTAATTTTTAATCAAATTACGTATTTCAATTCATTTGTGTTGTCAGTGGAATCTTTTTTTTTTTTTTTTTGAGACGGAGTCTCGCTCTGTCCCCCAGGCTGAAGTGGAGTGGCACAATCTCAGCTCACTGCAACCTCCACCTCCCGCGTTCAAGCGATTCTTTTGCCTTAGCCTCCCAAGTAGCTGGGATTACAGGCTCGTGCCACCACGCCGGCTAATTTTTGTATTTTTAGTAGAAACAGGGTTTTGCCACGTTGGCCAGACTGGTTTCGAACTGCTGACTTCAAGTGACCCACCTGCTTTGGCCTCCCCAAGAGTTGGGATTACAGATGGGAGCCACCGCGCCCAGCCGGTCAGTGGAATCTTATTAAGTCAAATTGTTACATTAGGTAGCTAGTCAGGTATGAGCAGGGCAGGAGAGGGCTCCCCACCAACACATAACACACACCAGGAGTGTTGGGAGACCATCAGGTGATTGTCAGGAGGTTGTTAACTGTTTCTCTCTTTTTTTTTTTTTTTTTTTTGACACAGGGTTTTGCTCTGTCACCCAGGCTGCAGTGCAATGGCATGATCTCGTCTCACTGCAACCTCTGCCTCCTGGGTTCAAGCGACTTACCTGCCTCAGCCTCCCAAGTAGCTGGAACTACAGGCCCGCACCACCAAGCCCGGCTAATTTTTGCATTTTTAGTAGAGATAGTGGGAGGAGGTGTCACTGTGTTGGCCAGGCTGGTCTCAAACTCCTGGCCTCAGGTGATCTGCCCTTCTCGGCCTCCCAAAGTGCTGGGATTACAGGCATGAGCCACTGTGCCCGGCCAACTGTTTCTCTAAAGTAATAATTGGTCACAGCTGGTGCCAGGGAAGGACTGTTTCCTAATAGAAAATACCTGAAACTGATCAGCAGCTTCCCAGTAAGATCTCAGGAGCGGGGAGAAGTTATAAGGCAGGATCCCGGAAGCATGCCAATACATAAAGTCCCAAGTCCAGAGGTCAAGCTGCACACTTGGTTTCTCAGGTCATCCCACTTGGCCCTCTTCCAAGTTGTACTTTCCTTCTTTTTTTTTTTTCCTTTCCTTGCTTTCCTTACTGTTCTACAGCCTTTTAATAAACTTCCACTCCTGCTCTGAAACGTGCCTCTATCTCTTCTGCCTTATGCCCCTCAGTTGAATTCTTTCTTCCAAGGAGGCAAGAATTGAGGTTGCTGCAGATCTGTACAGATTCGCCGTGGGGAACTCCAGGTAACTCAGATATCTTCCATCACTAACAAAACTGCTTAAGTTGCTAATGAACTATTGATTAAATTATGTAACACTATTTTTTTTTCTTTTTTTTTTTTTTGAGACGGAGTCTCGCTCTGCCGCCCGGGCTGGAGTGCAGTGGCGGGATCTCAGCTCACTGCAAGCTCCGCCTCCCGGGTTTACGCCATTCTCCTGCCTCAGCCTCCCGAGTAGCTGGGACTACAGGCGCCCACCACCTTGCCCGGCTAGTTTTTTGTATTTTTTAGTAGAGATGGGGTTTCACTGTGTTAGCCAGGATGGTCTTGATCTCCTGACCTTGTGATCTGCCCGTCTCGGCCTCCCAAAGTGCTGGGATTACAGGCTTGAGCCACCGCGCCTGGCCTGTAACACTATTTTTTAAAATCGAGGTAACATTCACATAAATTTACATTCATTCATCATTTAAAAATGTACAATTCAGGCTGAGCACAGTGGCTCACACCTGTAATCTCAACACTTTGAGACAGGAGGCTGAGATAGGAGGATTGCTTGAGGCCAGGAGTTTCAGACCAGGCTGGGCAATATAGCAAGACTCTCTCTCTACAAGAAATAGAAAAATTAGCCAGGCTTGGTGGTACATACCTGTAGTCCCAGCTACCAGGGAGGCTGAGGCAGGAGGATCACTTGAGCCCAAGAGTTCAAAGTTACAGTGAGTTATGATCAAGCCACTTCACTCCACCCTGGGCAAAAGGGGGAGACCCTGTCTCTGAAAAAAAAAAAAAAAAGATACAATTCAGTGGCATTTAGTACATTTGCAATGTTGTGCAATCATCCTCACTAGTTCCAGGACATTTTCATCACCCAAAAGGAAATTCTGTGCCCATTAAGCAGTCACTCCCCATTTCCATCCTCAGCCCTGGCAACCACTAATCTGCCTCCTGTCTCTATAGATGTACCTCTTCTGGCTATTTCATATGATGGAATCATATAACACGTGGCCTTTTGTGTCTGGCTTCACTTATTTACCATAATGTTTTTCCGTGTTCATCTATACTGTAGTGTGTATCAATGCTACGTTACTTTTTATGACTGAATACTATTCTGAAGTATGGATATACCATATGTGTTATCCTTTCAGCAGTTGATGGACAGTTGGGTTGTTCTACCTTCTGACTATTGTGAATAGTGCTGATATGAACATTCCTGTACAAGTTTTTGTTTAAATACCTGTTTTCAGTTCTTCTGGGTAAATACCTAGGAGTGAAACTGCTGGGTTGTTTGGTAATTCTGTGTTAGACTTACTGAGGAACCATCAAACCGTTTTCCACAGTAGTTGAACAATTTCACATTCCCATCAGCAGCATATGAGGGTTCCAGTTTCTCCGTATCTCCATCAACACTTGTTGTCTTCTGGTTTTTAATTTACAGTTTGCCTGTTTGTTGGTTTGGTTTTGTTATAGCCATTCTAATGGGAGTGAAGTGTAATTTTGGTTTGCATTTCCTTAATGACCAATGATATGGAACATCTTTTCATGCGCTTTTTGGCCCTTTGTCTATCTTCCTTGGAAATGTCTATTTAAAACTTTTGCCTTGTGTTTTGTTCTTTGTCCTTTTAAAATGTTTAAAATTTTTTCTTTGTCAATTTTTAAAAATTGTGGGCCCATTGCAGTGGTTGACGCTTGTAATCCCAGCACTTTGGGAGGCCAAGGCGGGCAGATCACTTGAGCTCAAGACTTCGAGACCAGCCTGGGCAACATGGCAAAACCCTGTCTCTACTAAAAATACAAAAATTAGCCGGGCATGGTGGTGGGCACCTGTAATTCCAGATACTCGGGATGCTGAGGCAGGAGAATCACTTGAACTCAGGAGGCAGAGATTGCAGTGAACCGAGATCGTGCCACAGAACTCCAGCCTGGGCAGCAGAGCAAACTCTGTCTCAAATAAATAAATAAATAGTGAAATAAAAATTGTTGTGAAAAGTACATAATTTTAACCTCTTAATTTATTTTTGTTTTTAAATTTTATTTTAGAGGGGACAGGGTCTTGCTTTGTCACTCAGGTTAGAGTGCAGTGGTGTGATCATGGCTCACTTCAGCCTCAACCTCCTGGGGTCAAGCAATCCTCCTGCCTTAGTCTCCCGTACAGGTATGTGCCACCACAGCTAGCTAATTTTTTTTTGGAGAAACGGAGTCTCACTGTGTTGCCCAGGCTGATCTCTAACTCCTGGCTCAAGCAGTCCTCCCGCCTCAGCCTCCCAAAGTGCTGGGATTATAGGCATAAGCCACTGTGCCTAGCCTACCCTCTTAATTTTTAAGTGTACAGTGCAGTATTATTATTAAATGCATATTGTTGTACAACAGATATCTAGAACTTTTCCATCTTGTATGACTGAAACTCTGTGCCCATTGAACAACTCCCCATTCCCTCCTCCTCTAGCCCCTGGCCACCATTCTGCTTTTGATTTTGAGTTTCATTACTTTATATGCCTCATATAAGTGGAATCATGCAATATTTGTCTTTTTTTTATATATATATACAGTCTCACTCTGTTGCCCAGGCTGGTGTGCAATGGTGCAATCTCAGCTCACTGCAACCTTCACCTCCTAGGTTCAAGTGATTCTCCTGCCTCAGCCTCCCGAGTAGCTGGGATAACAGGCATGTACCATCATGCCTGGCTAATTTTTTGTATTTAGATGGAGATGGAGTTTCACCATGTTGGTCAGTCTGGTCTTGAACTCCTGATCTCAGGTGATCCATCCGCCTCAGCCTTCCAAATTGTTGGGATTACAGGCGTGAGCCACTTCACCCGGCTGGTAATTTCTTTATAATCCTAGTTTGTAGGGTGTTTTGTTTTGTTTTTTTTTTTATCATGAAAGGGTGTTGAATTTTGTCAAGTGCTTTTTCTGCATCCCAGGGCTAAATCCCACTTGGTCATGATGTATGACCTTTTCGTGTGCTGTTGAATTCAGTTTGCTAAGATTTTGTTGCAGATTTTTGCATCAATATTCATTGAGGATATTGGTCTGTAGTTTTCTCGTAGGATCCTTGTCTGCCTTTGGTATCAGGATGATGCTGGCCTAATAAAATGAGGCTGAAAATGTTCATTTCTTTTTTTTTTTTTTTTTTTTTTTGGCGGAGTTTGAGAATTGTTGTTAATTCTACTTAAATGTTTTGTAGAATTCTCCAGTGAGACCATCCAGTCCAGGGCTTTTCTTTTTTGGGAGGTTTTTGATTACTGATTCAACGTCCTTACTACTTAGAGTTCTGTTCAGATTTTCTATTTCTTCATTATTTAGTTATGCTGCTTATATGTTTCTAGGAATTTATCCATTTCTTCTATGTTTTCCAGTTTGTTCACATGTAATTATTCATCATAGTCTCTTTAATCCTTTTCATTTCTGTGGCATCATTTTTGATGTGTCCTTTCATTTCTAATTTTAGTTATTATTTCAGTCTTCTTTTTTTTCTTAATCTAGCCAAGGGTTTGTCTTTTGCTGTTATTTTCAAAAAACCAACTCTTAGTTTTGTTAATTTTTTTCTATTGTCTCTCTATTCTCTATTTTGTTTATTTCCACTCCAATCTGTACCATTTCTCTCCCTCTGTTAACTTTGGGTTTAATGTGTTCTTTTTCTAGTTCATTGAAGTGTAAAATTAAATTGCTGATTTGAGATCTTTTTTCATTTTTAAATATAGGCATTTACAACTATAAATTTCCCTGTTTGCACTGCTTTTGCTGTATCCCATAAGTTTTAGTATGTTGCATTTTAGTTTTTATTTATCTCAAGGAATTTTCTAATTTCACCTGCAATTTCTTCTTT